CTCTCTTGAATAAAAAATTTAAAATCCCATTTACTTTTTTAATTATATATATATATATATTTTGCTAAATTGACATACCGATTATATACTAAAATATATAATCACTGAAAATAAACATATATAATTTAAAAATGATAAATAAAATAAGTTTGTGAATATACAAACTTCATTCCTCAAGAAATTTAAAAAAAAAAAGAAGTGAGAAGCAAGTGATTTTTATTCTTTTCAATCTTGTACATATACATATATATATATATATCATATTTTTATATTATTCTTCAAGCAAATTTGGACCAAATTAGGACCTCGTTGAGATACATATATGAGGGTCTTTTCCATATATCAATATATCAGTATTATATATATATATATGCTGCTCCGATATATATACTGAAAATTAAAAGTAGAAAAAAGATTTATTTATATACCAAGACGATAAGTTACATTCTGAAGAACAGAAAAGAAAAAACATAATTTAAACTTGGCATGAAACATAGATGCAAATTACCAAAGGCGACGAAACATGCAGAAAGAAAATGGCTCCATGAACTGCAGTGACATAAACGATAATTAAACTAGTCGTTATGAAATTAAAAAACAAAAGCAAACACCTTTAGTTAATTCTTTCTCTTGTCAATCCAGCAGCTTAGAAATCCACTCAAGGTGGCTCAAGTCTAAATCCGATCCATCTGAACTCCCCTTCTCTTTGATCTTCAGTCCGCTCAAGCTCCTCAAGAAGTCGCCTGGAACCTCCTCCTTCATCGGCATCTTCACTGGCCCCGGTGCTCGGCTCATCAGCATTCTCCCCTGCGAAGAACCCACCTGCACTGGCCGCCTTATCACCTCATCTCCGCCGTACATTCTCCCCCTGTACGTCACCTGGCACTTGTACTTGGTCTCCGACCTCAGCTGCTGGGGCGTGTGTGCGAAGAAACACACCTTCCGCTGGCAGAACCTGCCTGCATTGCATGCGCGAGTGCGGTATCGAGCCGGGTGCAGCCAGTACTCGAACACGCCGTGCGCGAAGTCGCAGGTTTCACCGCGGTAGCATCTGCCGTTGCGGAAGGCGGGGCATGCGACGGCGCAGTAGCTGAGTTTGCGGGGGTCACGGCGCTGCGCTTTCTCGCCACGGTGCGCGTAAGGGCATTCGGTCCAGTCGTGGCTGCGCATCCTCGGACATCGCTTGATCTTGTAGGCGAACATGCGGAACTCGTCGGAGCCATAGATTGCCTCGTCTATGGCATCATTATACTGCGTCGGGTTCATGGTTAGCCCTGCTTCTATTTCTTGCTGTTCGTCACTGTGATCGCACAACTTCTTCAGATTATACCCATTGAACATTTTCAATCAAACTGCTGTTTGTGAATACAATTACGTAAGAAAGATGGAAACTTTAATCGAGGAGGAGTGATTTCATAACGACGCTGCAGAAAGAGTAGATGAAGAGAAGGAAAACGAGGAGAAACTCCATTGGAGAGAAAAGAGAGGATGGAGAGAACTGGGTGAGGGAAGAAGGGAAGCTGGTGAATTTATAGAGGGGAAAGTGGAGGTGGTGGATGAGTTAAAGTAACCAAGGTGAGTTACTTTGCGGAGCTCAATCCTTCACCGGCCCTTAGCTAACGGTAACGGACGTCTGCTTGGGTGAGCTGAAGTTTAATCTCTTGACATAGGACATGGAGTACCTGTGTCATCCAGGTGTTAACACCTTCCTTCTGCAAACAACGATGTGCCCGTTTGTTGTTAGCCATTTGGCAAAGTCCTATACACATATATATATATATTTATATTTATATCGCTATTCTTTTCTCTTAAAGAGAAAACCATTTTTTTCTAAACCTCTAATCTGTCTTAGCAATCAAATAGAATGTTAAAAAATAGGCTGCTAATTCATTATAGACGAAGAAGAAGATGAATCTATGCGCGCGCGCGCACACACACACATATATATAGACTGAGTGAGTAATTTGATTCAGAGGGGCACAAAGTACTCGTGCTTTTAAATCTTTTTAATTGTACTTTTAGGTCATATTGGTAATAAATTATTAATTCAAGAATCTAGTATACACTTGATTTAACTATAGTATGACGAAAATTGAATTAAGATAATAAAAAGATTTAGCCACATGTATATACAATATTAATTTAATGCCAAATTGCAACTTGATGAATTTGATTTGCTTTTCCCCTCCCTATTTATATAGATATATATATATATATATATATTAGTATTTTGAAATATGAATCAATCTAGATTTGACATAGAAATATTACTAAATTAAATTAAGTTAAAGTTCATAAACTCATGACTTGTCCAACTCGAACTGACTCTATTAATGTATATTTTACCAGAATATAAAAAATTAAGTTTTTGTATAAAGAGAAAGTTATTATAGTTTATGGTTGTCAAATAAAAAATGAGAGAAACCATGAGATGATAAAAGGAGAACAAAAATGATAAAATAAAATAAGATATGGTCGAATCAGGTTGAGTTTTCAAAAGAACCTGAATTATCTAAAAGAATTTGAAATTATTAAACTAACCCTACTTCAAAAGAAAACAACTTGCAAGCAGGGTTGAATTTATCAAAACTTACCTTAAACCTAGTTAACTGCTATCTCTAAAGGATTTTTTTTGTAAGAGAAAAAGACATTTATTACTAACAGATAGTTGTATCAACATTATGACTTGAACTAAATCTAGCCAGTTTCTTTTAGCTAGTTTAAAGTAAATGAAAGAACAAGAATTATGTAAGCATTAATAACATCTCACTAACAGTCGTCAGTTTTAGAAGCACTTTCTAGTATCCGCTTTAAAGAGATTTTAGCTAGCGTGCTTGACAAATAAGATGACTTTTATTTCTTATTTACTAAAGTAATCTTTTTGACATTTCCTTTCAGGTAACGACAACATTGAGTTTTTGGCAGAGAAAGATTTGACATTCAAGCAAGCCACTAGTGGTGTGGTATATAGTGGGTTTAGTACACCATACCAAAACGGCTCCGAAACAAACAAAAAGTGTGTTCCACAATAAGATTTTATGGATAACTAACATCCTTAAAAAAACTATTGAGTATCTCAATTAGGATGTTCTCCATGACCTATGGATGGGGTCAAAGTGTCTTTTGTCTCAGATAGATTTAAGTTTTTTTTTAAAAAAAATTATGAAAGACAGAAAACCATTGTTGATTAAAAAGTAATTATACACCACTACCACAATAAATACATATATAAATTGAGATCATATTACATCCCAAATTAGGTGTGGAATAGGCTAGAACCAAGGACAAAAACTTTACACAAATGGCCTATATTGATTTGTATCAACATACTTCTTGAAAGGGGTGACCCATTCCTATTTCTATAAGATGTTTCTATGAGAGTGCCATCATCATCCCTCAAGAAATTGAATTTGTATCATGTTATATGTGACTTCTTGCTTTTTTAGTTGTAAGAGTCGCTCTATTCTTATTTTTTAAAATGCATAACCTAAAAATATGATGACCTAATTTTTAATAAATTAGGTTTAAAAGGGAAAATGAGCTTTTCTCTTACCTTTATAAAATATATGGTTTATAAAATGATGAAAATATGACTAAAAAGATGCACAAATGGTGTAATAGTTATAAATTAAAAGAGTTTTAAGTATTATAAAAAAAGTAGTTGTGAATAGAGAAAGTTTTACCATTAATAGTATAGGATAAATTATTGAATAAAGAGGTCATATTGATAAAGATAATAGAAGACACATGAGATTTAAGAGTAATGCTTCCAAGTGACTCAAAGAAAAGAGTGCTAAAATGAAAAGGGAGGACTAGAGAAGAGCGAGACATGAAAATTTCACGAAGGGAATAGAGGAAGAAATATCTCAAATCCTTTGAAGCAAATAGTTACATATGACAATAAATGTCAAATTTTATTGAAGCAAAAATTAAGAAAGGCTTAAGCATTTAAGAAGCTTGTTGTGCCTTTTTAGGAAGGGTTAAAAAGAATAATGGGCATGAACAACGAACGACTACTAATAGCTTTTGCATTAAGAAAAGATATTGAGTAAACAATAGGCTCTTTAGCTCATTTTTGAATCAATTTGTCATAGTTTTCATCGATGATATCTTGGTCTACTCTAAGAGTAAAGAGGAACATCTTTCGTATCTAGCTCAAATTTTGCAGATTCTTAGAGAAAAGAAATTGTATATGAAGTTAAGTAAGTGTGGTTTTTGGCTCGATCAGGTTGCCTTCCTGGGACATGTAATATCAAAATATGGTGTACTAGTAGATCCTCGCAAAATTGAGACCGTGTTAACTTAGGAACGACCTACCACGGCCAAGGGTATTAGAGAATTTTTAGGATAAACTGGGTATTACCATAGGTTTGTGAAGGGATTCTCCAAGATTGCAGCTCCTCTT